TCATATGATTGCACTCAAAACAATCTGTTCCATAACCTTCCTGGGCACCGAGGTCAGGCTGAGAGGCCTGTAGTTCCCTTGATCCTCCTTCTGGCCTTTCTTGTGGGCATCACACTGGCCAACCTCCAGTAATCTGAAACCTCCCTGGTTAGCCAGGACTGATGATAAAAGATGGAGAGTGTCTTGGTGAGCTCTTCCACCAGCTCCCTCAGTACCCTTGGAGGAGTCCCATCCAGTCCCATAGACCTGTGTGTGTTCAAGTAGCGGAGCAGGTCACTAACTACTTCCTCCTGGATTACAGGGGGTATATTCTGCTCCTGGTCCCTGTTTACCAGCTGAGGGGGCCATTTGCCCTGACGATAACTGGTCTTACTCTTATAGACTGAGGCAAAAAAGCACTTTGGAAAATTGGATCATATATCCTGATCTCTGAATAAGCATTCAAGAACTCAACTTCATCACATGACATGATTATAACCATATAGCATCAAGATCTAAAATGTAAAGAATTATTATAATAACAAGCACCATTATTGAATTGTTTTTGTACTACTAGTATGATCTAATTGTTAAGTCATCTCTGCACATGCTACAGGGTTTGGTGACAATTTACAGGAAATCAGAGATTGAAATACTCTATTCTTAACCCAGATTATTTTGCATAACCTTATTTTTTCTGTAGAAGTCCATGGCACAGTTTATGAAGTTGAAGGAATGGATCCTCATTTACCAAAACCCAGGTCTGCTGCTTTTTAAGGGGTGCTATCTGACTGATGTGTGAGGAAGTAGTTAAATGCCTGATCTCAAGTGAATCTCTTATCCATGTCCATAAAATGATGTTTTCACGGATTCTTTTGAGAATTTTGTTTCTCCTCCTTTTTCCTCCTTCTCTTCGAGCATTGACCTTCAACTGTAACTTTCCGTTTCTGTGAAAGGATAGGCAGTACTCTTAGAGCACTAGAACACTGTTCTAGTGAACAGTGCTGGCAACCTCTCAAAGTCTTGTACACTTTGGCTACAACCTAAAATTTCCGTGTGCTTCCCTGAATTTTGGGAAATTGGGTATCTTGAAATAATTTTTTTTTTCATTTTAATTTACTGGAAGATTTCCAGTATTTTCTGTAGGGAGGAGTGCCATAAACACAGGGTCATTTTGGAGTTTTTTTCTGTATTTCCTGTTCTCTTCCTTACTTCCAGAAACATAGATGTGTTTAATTTTCGATAGCCATTGAAAGAAAGTGAAGCAGTTTAATAAACCTGGTTTGAAATCTTAGATCGCCTTCCGATCACTAGCTTGAAGCCAGGCTCCTTCTTTCTTGTTTTACCTCCTAGCAGCTTTCAGTAGCAGTCCACTATCAGCAAGAAGGAAAAGGAGAATATCTAAGTGCCCAATACCCAATAAGTGCCCAATAAGCTTTGTGCTTAAGATGGCTTAGGATGCAGGAAAAGAGATTTATCCTCCTCTTACTCTACTACATTTACCCCTGGCCTTTACCACAAGATGTGGAATTTAATTCTTACTCCTCTCTTCAAGAGGCATAATGGGCACAGATACTTGCTTTGAGGCCCTGATGTGACTGCCTTTGTAGACATTTTCCCTTTCTGATCAGCTATCTTTAGATTTCTCCTTACTGTACATTTGATTATGTACAGATGTGTATATTCACTCTTTATAATGTGTGTACCTTAATGTAGGCTTTCCCACTGAAGGATATGAGCACCATCCATCTTTTCTAACCTCTCAGGGACATATCTATCGCATTCCTTGACCTCCCGAGAAACATAATCTTTTTTACTCAGAAAAGTTGCCATGCAGAATTTGAGAAAACTGTGTTTGTCAAGGAAGTTTGGTGATGTGGTGGCAACTGTCCTGGAACAATTGTTCCTGAGGAACAATTTGTCTCCTCTGGGCAGCAGAGTGCAGGGAGGAATCATGGATTCCTGGGGGTTTGATCTGTGCTTTGCTGTAGATCTGGTGATTTCAGGAAGTCTGACAGACTCAGTGAGCATGTAATTTACATTAGTTTTGTGTTTGTACAGTGAAGATGTGTTATAGAAGTATTGAGATTATCCTGTCCCTGCTACTGAGCAGACAAACACCTGTTTTTTTTGTGGAAATGCCAGACAAATATGTGGTGGCCTTGAGATAAGAGATGCAGCTGTGTTTTTCACTCAGGACAATTTTTACCCTGCACCTTCCTCACCCCCTCCCCTCAGTTTTTCATGTATGTGTTTCTTATGTAAGGAAGCTTCCTGACCATCTCTGATATACATATTCAAAGCTGTGTGATACTTGGTTCAGTGTTAGTGGAATACAGTAAAATTCAATTAGATTTCTATAATATCACTGTTCAAAATTGTTGTTCTTCACGTTGGGTAATAGTAACGGCAAAAACTATGAACTCATTATGAACTCAAAAATTATCCACAGTGCAGTGTATTTGTTTTACCCTACTTCCTTTTTTCAGTTATGGATAACACATACAACCCATTACTTACCTTCTTTAACAATTTTAATATTTAAAGAGCTCTATAAATCCTCAAAACTGGTATTGTAAAGCTGCAACCAGTTTAAAGATTTCTTAGAGTTAAAATTTGTGATGATATTGTAGTAGGGCCTGTGCCACATCCCAGGAGTGGACTCCTGCTGTAACAGCCTACAGTGTTGAGTTAGGTACAGTTTCTGGCCTAAAGAAATTGCAGCTGAAGTAGACTGAGTAAGGGCACAGTAACATAATATGTAAGTAGTGTTAACAAATTTTACAATGCTTTAGAGTGTGTTTACTCTCTTTATTCTTTAGGAGGAATTTAAACAGGCAGGAATTAGTCAATTTGAAAAGCGAAAGCAGCAAAAAGCTGAGGAAGAGAAGGCTCAAGTTAACAGAAGAAAGTGGAGGAAATACACTGACTGTAAGAAGCTAGAGAGTTGAGATGCTAGAATACATACAGAAAGGGGAAGTGGAGTTGAGTCCTGGTAGACCAGGGAAATAGCGGAAAATAGCAAAATAACCCAGAGGCATTGTTAGCCTGGAACCGCTAATCAGTTCCTGGGCTGCTGCTGAATCAGTTGTGCCTGCATCCATGGGTCTTAGCACCTGTTGGACCAGAAATCCAGTTCAGCCAGCTGCGTTGAGGTGAGAAGGCTCCCCCCAAACCTGAACAGGTTCAAGATCCTCCACAGAAGCAAACAGTTGACTCCAACACAACTACAGATTTAGTGACTCATCAAACTAGTGCTGTATAGGAACTTGGGTTCCTTTGACATAGTAGAATACTCTAGGTATTTCAAAGTAACTTACTTTCAAACTGGAAGAAATACATGTTCGGTGATTTTAGAAAATGAAATATTTATTAATTCTTTCTGTAGAACTGTAACTGTAGATTTAGGAACAAAATGGAAGGGTTATTAGATAGTTACTTAAATGTACTTACGGTACTTTATACTTTGAAATGCGTAGATCATTTCTTAGATCGCTGTGTTCACTTTGCCAAGATTTCTGCAATGCGAACAGGGAAACTAACTGGCAAGAATTTTTTTACGGTTTATTATTCTTTCTCCTCTCAAGGTCAAACAGTCTTTCCTATGTATAGCTACTACAGTGGTTGGAGATTAATTCTGAGGATTTTTGAAACTATACCTCTGAAATGTGCCATGTTTTGAGAGGGCTGCCTAGCGTCTGTTCCTGTCTCAGGGCTATTCTAGTCCTTTAGTTGTGGTAGTCTTTATTAAGGAGGAAGGGTAAATTCAGTCTTTGTTTTTAAAGCCACAACAAATTTCACTTCTGAGATTCTGAGAAAGAAAAAGGTGAGGAAGGAACATGAAAGAGCAAAGTAAAAATAGCCCAGACGAACTGGCCACCTTCCATCTTTCTTCTTTTGCAACTCAGTGCATAGTTTGATATCTGCTAGTCCCACACTGTCTTTGCATTTATGATTGAAATATATTTACTTTTGTAATAAAAGTAATAGAGCCAAGACTGAAGAAAATTATATTAAAGGAAAAGATTGGTGGATTTTCAGGTTTCCTAGATGGACAGTGTTGGCAACACTCATTTTGGGGTTTTCAATGTATGGTAAGCTGAAGATCGTTACAATTCTGAAAAAATGAGTGCTCCAGCCTGAAAAGTCTAGCCTTATGTTCAGAAACATATTGGTCTCTGGTCTAAACAGCAGCAGAAGGTAACCATGATCTTGACAGTGTCCAGGTTTCTTTGATGCCAGTAACATGTTCGTGTTCTCTTCTTTCACTTACTGTGGTTGCCTCATTTAGCCATAGCACACTACTGCAGAGATATGCATCAGTTCATAGACTCCTCATGTACTCCCCTGCTTTTTGCCACTTAAATAGCATGCCCATGCATTGTCCCTTCATAGTTCCTAGATGATCCTGTGAAGGGTTAAGAGGACTCAGTGATCCTTGTGGGTCCCTTCCAGCTCAACATATTCTGTGATTCTGTGATTCTAAGCATTACCAGAGTTTGCAAGATTGACAATGGTTCCATTATTTGAGGGTATCACAGGTATTTAACAGTCTTTGTAATTTTCTGTTGCTTGCAGGATGTCAGAAATGTTTCATACTGTACATAAAATCTAGTGAAAATGTTTGCTGCATGACTTCCTTACTTGCAATTCTTAGGACTAAAAATAGTTTCATAAATACTTTATTTTCTGTTTCATTTTCATGCACATACCTTGGGAAGAGAAATAAGAATGACAGAAATATTGTATGAGCAGTAATTCTTGTCAGATAAGAAGTGAGAATGGATTGGGGAAAACCTCTGAGAGAGAGTAGTTTGATGAAATATTATGCAGTTAGAAGAAAATAAAACCAGTTCTGATAAGGATAAGATTTGCTTCACCTTGAATTTCCTTAACACTCATACCATATATTCCTGTATCACAGATTTTGGTGGGTTTTTATTTTATCCAAGCATGTTCTTTCTTTTGAATTTTGATCTTCCTCTTTTCATGCTTTAACAGTTCTTTTCTGTTTTTCACAGACTGTTTTTGAGAGGAACTGTCGGTCTGATGACTGTGCTGCTGATTTGAAACTTCAGGGTAAATTACTGCTATCTAGGTGAGTAGGTGAACTTTTTTTTCTTTCTTGCAAAGTAGTATACCATTCATCTTATGTAAAATGGCATTGAAAAATCAAAAGACAAACACAGATATTTAAGATCCAGATTAGAAGGAGATGGTGACAATGATACCCTTTTGGTGCAGAAAGGTCTTGAGATATACACAGAATCTGAACTCCTGTCGTGATGGGCTCTGGGCACATACAGCACAGGACACCTTCATCTTCCCAATCAAAATTGACAAAACTAGAGAAAAAAATAGCATAGCAAAGAGGGGCAGAGAAAGTAAAATTGCATGCTCAAATCAAATACCAGTGTGGACCATGTAATTCTTCAAAGAGAATAAAATACTCGACATGGTAAGAGTATAACTGCCTGCAGAAAAGCAGTTTATTCAAAAAAAAGACACATGAAAGGTTGAAAAAAATTCTCTGAACATGGCAAATTATCTTCTTCAATCTATCATTTTCTGTTTTTCAAATTGCAGTTTTGCTAACTTGTCTGAAATACTGCTCTCCTTTCAAATTCTTCTTGTCTGCAACTTGGGGACAAGTGTCTGATTTCACTCTCTTCTGGGATAATAAACCTCATCAAATAAACCAGAGGTGAAGTTTATGTTCTGTCCCTTGTGACGGGTGATCTTCAGAAAATACCTATTGTTTTGCCAGGATGTGTATTCGATTTTGGGATAAATCAGGCTAAAGTGAACACATCGCTTCTGTTTCCTTTTGGGTTTTTTTTCAGATGGAAATGCTGATGTGAGTTATTTAATTGTGTGCCAGAGGTTTTGCTATTTGACGGAGAAGCTCTCTGTGAAATGCTTTGCTTTCAGGTCAGGAGAGAGAGGAGAAGACACTCCCCTGCTTTAGGAAAGAAAGAAAAAACAAACAAACCCCAAACACAAGGAATAAGTAATAGTCAGGAGATACACACATGTTTTATGTAAGTCCACAACATGCTGTAACTATACTTGGAGACAAAACTGAACTGTAGTCAAGTCTGAGAAGTTACACGCTTCTCCAGAAACGACTGAAGTCCACATGAATGTTTGAGCTAGAGATATGTCTGTGTGGATTAGAGAAGCCAGTGAAGGATTTTGTCCTGTAGTTGAGGAACAAATAGCAAGGGACAGGTCTTAAAACTTGTCAGTGTCACAGCAGTAAGAGCTGTAGTTGCGATTGGAGCGTTTGGCTGTTTATATTTCCAGCTGCTATTTATGTTACCTTGGCAATTTAAATGCCACACCTGTCAAAAGAGCTTAGGATTTTTGAATACAGTTTCTACATTTGTATAGCAAAATGCTGAACAAATGCTCTCAAATTTTCTTTACCCAGTGACACTCTGAAGTCCTGTTTGAAATAAACAGGATGTTGTGAAATCCCCCTGCACGATATGGGTTTTCTTTAGCTAAAGGGCTCTGTAAGCTTCAGTTATTAAGAAACGTAACGCAATGAATGTCTCTTATGAAAACAGATTTTTTGTTGTGCTATTATTGCCTGTGAAATTACAAAGAAACGTGTTATGGATTCTGATTTTAAACAAGTGCCTGGTAATTTTTCCAGCCCCATGTGTTTCATGCTAAATAATCCTATCACCATTTTTCCACATTATTTCTGCTTATTCTATGTACAAGCAAAATTATTAATTTTTTTTTAGAAAGAACAAGAAAGGTGACTCATTTATTACTATCTGCACTAAACATTTAACTTCATTGTTAGCAAAGTTATGTCAATGCCTTTGTCTAAATAATCATGTATGACTAAATTTGGTGGACTTATTATTGGAAAGAATGCAATTAGTGATGCGCAGATACACTGGATTGAAATAAATCAGATGTTTATAGGAAGGCAGCAGTAAGTATTGTCTCTCAGGTCTGCTGCAGCTCTTTGAAGGTGTCACTGGACCTGTGGATAGGATGGTTTGATTAAGGTCACCTACCTGGGTTTGCAAAAGACTTTTATTAAGATTTCTCACCAGGGGTTCACAAAGAAAGTAAGTTACCCATATCTGAGAGGAACGATGCCCTGAGTATTACTACCTAATTAAAAGGTAATCAACAGAGAAAAGGTATAAATAGTTAGTTTTGATGGTGGAGAGAACTCTACAAGGGCAAGTGATATTCAGCACATTCACAAATGATATGGGAAATAATCTGCTAGAAAGTAATGATTAAGTTTGCTAATCATACTGAACTCTTCATAGCAATGAAAATAACAAAGGAGGAGGTATATTTTCATGACGTGTGTGATTAATCTGTGGATTTTACTGTTTGGGATACTGTAAGTTCTGAGAGTGTATGAATGCAGGAAGCTGCAGAAATATATCAGCAAAGTGCCATTCTGTGCTTGCCTTGCTCTTCCATATCCTCTTGCTTTTAGACATAGTTGGGTACAGGGTTCTCTGCTAGATGAACTGACTGTGCTTACACACTTTCCTTAAATTTGTAGCCTGTTAGAGCCAAAAGCTGTTCAGGGAGCTGTATATGGCAAGGTGTAGCTTTGCTCGTCACTATATATGCTTGTGTGCTGGTTAGAGCATATATGTGTATAGAAAGTCAATTCAGATTACATTATCATCAAGAGAATTGTTTGCTCAAGTCATTCTCATGAGCTTGGGATCTCCACAAGCCACTCTGATACAGCGTTCACCTGGGATGCTTTTTAATCATTAGAATTACCCAGTTAAAAGATCACGTCCAGCTTTGAAGATATGACACCTGCATACCAAATGACGACTGGGAAAACCAGCCCATTCTGGCACGAGTTAACCAGCTCCGCTCTGATTTTACTTTTCTTGGGATCTTGCTTCTCTTCTGAAAACTTATTTGTGTGCCCTTAAATTGGGAGCACTTCACTTTGATAAATAACGAATAAATAGCCCAGGATGTTAACACTCAAAGTGATGACCTCATAGATGGCCATTTATCCAAAGTGCTAAAACCAAACCTGCATGTTTGAGTTAGAAACTTCACTGCTGTTCTGACTAGGTATGATTGGGTTTGTGTCATTATTTCGTGGTGTTGAGGAGCTATTACATGTCGAAATGGCGCTGCTGGGCAAACTGAAATCCTCCGCTGTGAATTTGTAGAAGATGGTAGGGCAGAACTGCTTGGAAGCAGGTGATGATAAAAAAAATGTTAAAGTCTTATAGCTCTATCTGGAAGCTTTTGCAAGAAGCTGGAGATGGCATATATTCTTTTTTTGAATGCTTCTGTTATAGTGAAAGTTGTCCTTGGAGACTTGGGCTCCACTACATGCTTTACTGGAGTGAAGAAGACTTAGGATGCATTTATTCTGTAAAGAAAAAGGTTTTATTTCAGTTAACAGATAAATCTCTTCAAGGCTTGTGCACCTTCATTGTCATCCGTTTGCATGTAAACCCATCCCAACTTCCCGAAGGGATTGTTAGATAAAGGAGCCACACTGTTCTTGCTTGTGGCAGATGCAAGAGAGGCTGAGAGTCACAGACTGTGGCTTGGCAGGTTCGGAGCAGAGATTTGGAAAAACCCTCTTGCATAGGCAGTTCATGCTGCAGAGGAATGAGACATGCAGAGATGGTGTGCTCTGCCATCCTGGGTTTCAGGACTTGTCTGGGTAAGGTTCTTGCTGACTCTCTGCCTTTCGCTGATGCCACCTCTGCTACCTGGCAAAGCAAACTCAGGATTTAACTTTTTACGGCAGACATTACGAGATCATAGAATCATAGAATTAACAGGGTTGGAAGAGACCTCCGAGATCATCAAGTCCAACCCTTGATCCAACCCCACTGTGATTACTGAGATCATGGCACTCAGTGCCACATCCAGCCTCGTCTTAAAAACCTCCAGGGACGGTGAATCCACCACCGTGGATGGGGTGGCCATTCCAATGCCTGATCACTCTCTCTGTAAAGAACTTCTTTCTAATATCCAACTTAAACCTCCCCAGGCAGACCTTAAGCTCATACCCTCTTGTCCTACTGCTGATTGCCTGGGAGAAGAGACCAACCCCCACCTGGCTACAACCTCCTCTCAGGGAGTTGTAGAGAGTGATGAGGTCACCCCTGAGACTCCTCTTCTCCAGACTAAAAAAACCCAGCTCCCTCAGCCTCTCCTCACAGGACTTGTGCTCAAGTCCCTTCACCAGCCTGGTTGCTCTTCTCTGGACCTGCTCCAGCACCTCAATATCCTTCCTGAACTGAGGGGCCCAGAACTGGACACAGCACTCAAGGTGTGGCCTCACCAACGCAGAGTACAGGGGAAGGATCACTTCCCTGCTCCTGCTGGCCACACTGTTCCTGATCCAGGCCAGGATGCCATTGGCCCTCTTGGCCACCTGGGCACACTGCTGGCTCATGTTCAGCTTCCTGTCAATCAGCACCCCCAGGTCCCTTTCTGCCTGGCTGCTCTCCAGTCACGCTCTCCCCAGCCTGTAGCGCTGCAGGGGGTTGTTGTGACCAAAGTGCAGGACCCGGCACTTGGCCTTGTTGGACCTCATTCCGTTGGAATCAGCCCAACTCTCCAGCCTATCTGGGTCTCTCTGCAGAGCCCTCCTACCTTCCAGCAGGTTGACACTCCCTCCCAACTTGATGTCGTCTGCAAATTTGCTAATGGTACACTCAATCCCCTCATCTAAATCATTATAAAGACGTTAAAGAGGACTGGGCCCAGCACTGATCCCTGGGGGACACCACTGGTGACCGGCTGCCAGCTGGATGCAGCCCCGTTCACCAGTACTCCCTGAGCCCGGCCCTCCAGCCAGTTCTTAACCCAGCACAGAGTGCCCCTGTCCAAGCCGTGGGCTGCCAGCTTTTCCAGGACTATATTATGGGAGACAGTAACAAAGGCTTTGCTGAAGTCCAGATAGACACATCCACAGCCTTCCCCTCATCCATCAGACGGGTCACCTGATCATAAAAGGAGATCAGGTTGGTCAGACAGGACCTGCCCCTCCTAAACCCGTGCTGGCTGGGTCTGATCCCTTGTCCATCCTGTGTGTGTTGTGTGATTGCACTCAGGATG